AAAAGTGGCTAGATCAGAAAAGAGCTTAGCGTCACATATTTTCCCCCCAGGTCGCTCTTTGAGATGCAAATGGCGAGAATCAGACAAAGCCAGTGTTGACGGGGAGCAGTGGACGGCCGCCTGAATGTAATTCCTTTTTGTGTCGGAGAACCATGCATTTTTCGTCGTCGTCCCCTTCCTCCTCCCACTATCCTCTCCAGGGCCAGAACACCCGGTCCTCGGTGTAGACTTGAGTTTTAGCGGCTAAATGCATCCTAAGAGGGTGGAGGTCCAGCTGTGTACCTGACTGTAGCAGACTAGCAGACGGGGAGATGTAACGACTGACGACTGTGTGTGTGTGTGTGTGTGTGTGTGTGAGGGTGATGTGATGCGTTAAGTGGATGCTACGCGTGTGTCCTCTTGCTTGCAGCTGCTGCCGCTGGCTAACCTTTGCGGTGAAATGGGACGCCGAGTGCGTAAGTCTTTCCCTACAAGTACATAGCCTCTCCTTTACCAAGACTCCTACTATGCCTCCTCGTGGCGACGCACGGAAACTGTTTCTTGCGAGTTCAGGGTAAATAGTAGAGCATCTCGGAGCAGCAATGGGTCCTAAAAGTACGGCGTGCAGGCCCACCGGCGTATAGACATGCCCTGGCGCTTGCTAACTATTGCCCCACTGCTTTGTTGGTTAGTGTGGTACGATGAAAGGCTTGGGGAGCAGACCCTGAGAGGAAAGCAAGTGCTGGCGGCGCACCATAGGCGGCCCTCCGATATACTGGAGTTCCGGGAGCCTCCTGCAGCTGTGGGTTGGTGCTAGTCGTCTTGGGTGCCCCCTTGCCAGTGGAATCGCCCTACTTACAGTCAAGACAGTGGTGTTGGGTTGAGTGCAACCCAAATGTCACTCTAATATCCTCTTTTGCGCAGGTCCTCTTCTTCTGGGAAATTTCAATTGAGTCGAGGATTGGACTCTACAGCCATCGTAGGACTCACCAATAAACCAGAAGAGGAATTCATCATCGGACACGATGGACTACCATAAGCAAGTAAGTGTGTGTGTGTGTGTGATGGATTTGTCTCTCTCTCTCTCTCTCTCTCTCTCTCTCTCTCTCTCCAATATGCGCGATGTCAAGAGATATGTTAGACACTGGAAAATGTTTTTGTTTGTTTTTGCTTTTCGGCTGAATATTGATAATGGTGTTACATGTAGTACAGTTCATGAAAAGCTGTTACTTTTACCCGCCGAATATATTATTATTATTATTATTATTATTATTATCACTATTATTATTATTACTAGTAGTAGTAATAGTGGTTTATTATTACAGAATTGTCTCTCCGGTCTATTGATGACTCTCTCACAGGTATTAACATTACTGGACTAGACTTGGTGGTCACTTACTGTCCTAGCCACCTTCCCCTCCACCTCCTCTAAGACCCTTCCTCCACCTCCACTAAGACCCTCCCTCCATCTCCCCTCGGAACCCTCACCTCCTCCCCTTCCATCTCCCCTAAGACTTTCCCTCCACCTCCCCAAAGACCTTCCCTCCAATTTCCCTAAGACCCGCCCTCCATTTCCTCCCTCCACCTACCCTATGACTCTCCTTCCACCTACCCTATGACTCTCCTTCCACCTCCCTTAAGACCCTCCCTTTACCTCCCCAAAGACCCTCCCTCCACCTCCCTTAAGACCCTCCCTCCACCTCCCCAAAGACTCTTCCTCCACCTCCCTAAGACGCTCCCTCCACCTCCCCTCGGAACCCTCCCTCCTCGCCTTTTTTTTTTCATCCAGGGAAGACATCAGACCTCTCAATCTTATCCAGACCCTCAACTTTTATCCAAATGACGTCATCAGGCTGCCGAAGGAGACGCAAACTCAATCTCAACTCAATTTTATCCCAAAGTCAAAGGAAGAAAACCCAGTAGGAATATATAAACGAAGGCAGGGGTGTGAGGGGCCCAAGCCTTCCTCATGATGCTCTGTTTGGATGTACCCTCAGTCAGGTGTGTGTGTGTGTGTGTGTGTGTGTGTATTTTTCTAAGTGTGTGTGTGTAGATGTGTATTTATCTCGTTAACATTTCCCTTACACACACAACAGGTAACATAATACCCAAGATTACGAGTGCGTGAGTTTTGAAGTCACTTTTTGTCAGCCAGTTGAGACGTGTGGGAAAACCTGGCGTGGTGTAGACAAGTGAACGTGTTGCTGTGGCAGGGGAGCTCCTCACCTTGTCAGTCCGGGCTATTAATTACGTATATACCCTCGTGTCACACTTAATACTCATAGATTCACTTTTCAGTTGTATATATAACTTTAAGGCTTTTATATTACTTTCATATATCAATTTCAAATTACTTTAATATATCACTTTCAAATTTACTGTATTGGTTGTGTCATTTTAAGTAATATGTAATAATGATATACTGTATTCGTTTTTAAGTCAGGTATTGCGTACAGTATATTGCTTGAAAAATGTCACCTTCAAATCCTAGACCATAATTATATATCACCTTTAAGTCAGATATAATACTCTTACATATCGCCAACGGTTAATATGAATATAATATATATCATATAATATATGCATAACACCTTTAAGTCATATATACTTCTCATACCATCACCTCCTCGTCACATATATTACCTATATTTCACCTTCAAATATTAGATAATGTACAGTATAAATGCTGCTGCTGCTGCTGCTGCTCACAGCTGCAATGCTCACAACAGCAATGCTCACAGCTGCAATTCTCACCGAAGCAATGCTCATAGCTCCAATACTCACAACAGCAATGCTCACAACTGCCCTGGGGCTGCTCACAACAGCATTTCTCATAGCAGCAATGCTCACAACAGCAATGCTCACAGTTCAAATACTCACAACAGCAATGCTCACAGATGCCCAGAGGCTGCTCACAAAAACAGTGCTCACACTGCAGCCCCGGATACTGTTGCGGAAATTAGCAGTGCACGGCAACTCAGGCACGATTTTTCATGTCCAGGTGCCCAGCCAAGCGGACAAGTTAATTTTTGTAAGGGCAAGTGAAAAAATATTCAGACAAGTGAATTTCATTAGTCACTTGCCCGGGACAAGTCAAGGTTCCACATAATCTGCACAGACTGCCTTCAAATCATATACTGTATATTACTTGCATTTCACCTTTAAGTCGGATGTGCTACTTAGATATCTCCAGGTAACACTGGCATAAAAGTCAAAGACCAACGCATTATTGTATTATTTAACGAAAAGTGGCGGTGGCGCTGCAAGGTCATCCCGAGGTCAGGTCAACCAAGAAGGGGGTGTTTTTGTGGGTGGTGGGGCAGGTCCTCCCCGCCCCGCCTTACCCAACTCTCACACCTGAATAACAAGTGGGTGAAATTTGTCGCGACCTTCCCGCGGGTAAAACTAATAAGTCAACGCGAGTGAAACGGGGAGAATGAAGCACGGGGAATGATACGGGAAATAAAACACCTTGAGTGAAACAGAATAAAATGCCAAGTACGAAACAGAGAACGAAGCACTCGGAGTGAAACGCGACTCCGGCAGCGACATCTCGAGAAAAGAGCGACGTGTTGGATCTCTCGTAAGCTTTACAAAACACCAAAACAAACTTTGTTAGACGCCGATGTAAGGTTTAGACTTGCACACAAATTCATCCATGAATATGCAGATTGGTTTGATGACCAGGACGCACCAAGCTGAGAAAGTAGCGCCTACTGTCTAGTCAGCCGTGTTATTTAGCGTATCCGTGTCTAAAATAAAACACGGAATACTTAACACACGGTAAAGAAAAATCGTGCTTGCATACATTTTCTGTGGAATAAATATGTTGTGTGATTTTCCTCTTTCATAATAATAATAATAATAATAATGAATGTCTTCCAGAGTTAGTTCCATATATGATACTAACATTTTTTTTAGATATAGTATATCAGGAATTAGTGCAATTTCTAAAGATGATTACAAGTTACAGTTATCACAGCAATATGTTAGGTCAGGTTAGGTTAGATGACACGAGTTGGCCTCAGTCAAGACAAGAGCGACGGGGAAAATATTAACTTTTTATTTCATTACATTAGCTTGCCATAAGACCCACTAGTGATCATTAGACACTAACATTAACAATACAGTTTATCACATGAATCTGATGCAAGTTTAGAAAATTGATAAGAAATACCTAAAATAAATTCTGGTTTAACGTTCTTGCAGCACTTATTTATAATTATCACAACACCTGGTATGAGAATTTATGAAGAAAAAACATCACCTAAGGATTAATTTGTCTTCCTCATAATACCTGGAGATAGAATCAATTCCCCTAAATCACCTCATTTCAGAATTAGCAAACCTTCAAATTCTCATCAGTAAAGTTAATTAAATATCTACCATGTATCTAGCATGGATCTTTTTCTTCTACTTCAAAGAACACAGGATAACGCCAACCAACTGTGCTCTCAGATGTTTACACCAGAAGATATTTTAGTGATGACAACAGGTAGGTGGTTAGTGGCTTGTTAGTGGCGTAAAATATACAGGGTAAATATTAGCTTGTTAGTATAGTACAGGACTCGGTTACCAGCTTGTTAAGAACGTGAAATACAGAACAGCGTCAATGGAACACAAAAAATCGTCCATAAACACGTAGTGCTAAAAGTAATACAACATAATCCTAAACATACAACATGCACAACAACAAATAAAACACACACACACTCTCTCTCTCTCTCTCTCTCTCTCTCTCTAACAAAGGCACTCGAACATGGCATATCTCCCATGGATGGTTCAAGTAACTCTGAGACAAAGAAAATTTATTATCAATTAAGGGTTAACTGACGCAAAACTCCAACACAGAACCACATTGGCAATTTCACTAACCTATTCACTAACTTGATTATCACTTGTGTATTTATTAAGATACAGTTTAAAACTCTCGTCTCCCAACAATAACGGATTGGTGTCTTTAATTTTGTAGATTTTGTTTATTAGTTTTCGTACACACACACACACACACATATATATATTTTCACTTGTGACAGAGAGTGAACCTTCCTTCATTCGTTTTACAATAGGCGTCCCTTAATATCCCAACAATCAGTCTAACACAGTCCTTCAACTTGTACGTGGTGTTCAAGAGAGAGAGGTGTCCGTGGCCAAATCCGTATCAGTCAGCTTCGTGCCGTCCTCCCACGTTATCTCGTCGGGGAATTTGGTCACCCTGGTAGCCACCAACACCCCCTCTGGTCCCCACGTCTGTCACCACCAAGATATTTGTTAGTTGTGATTAACTTTTTGTTAAGGTGTACAGATCAAAGGGTAAAACACTGTTCTTAAGGGTTATTCTATCGTCTTCAAGTGGGTAAAGTAGTCATCACACGGGGCACTCACTACCTACAGTACTAAGTTAAGTTTACTTAGGGGTCACTACATAATGAACTAAGTTTACTAAATGGGCGCTACCTGCTACATAAAGTTTGCTAAGGTTCATTCATTACAAAAATTTCTACGTCACTGACCAAATTGTTGCTGGATGGTGTTGAATTGTGTTATGGTGTTGATGGCGACAGTTGGCACATATAGGTTACATTCTCCAGTGTAACGTCGACAATAATGTGCTTAGTCAGGAAATACTTCACCTTTGTAACACACATATGTATGCAGCGGTGGACGTTAAACGAAGTGAAGTTACTTTGTCAGAGCTCAGATGACTTTTTTAACAAATGTATAAATTGAAAGTAACCTTCTTCTCGGCACCTTTACTTTTATTTGAGAAACATTTTACACAATTATCGGTACTCTTCCTTCATTACTTATTTTTTCGGCCATCTCGTTACCGCGTCACTTTATCCTGGCGTTTAAGCAGTAAGTGTGATATTTTCCCAGGCAATCTGAACTCAGCCCTGAACACACACTGTGTTCCCAGCCCCAAAAAGGGTTACAACAAATAAAAAATTACTTAAAACCAGCTTTCTTTAAGGTTAAGTGAAGATATGTGCAGTAAATATTTAATGGTGGGGGTTATAATCATCATTACGTAGTACATTGCAGGACAGTACATGTACCCACTACAACATTGTCGGTGATTAATTTTCTTTAAGCAAACACAGTAACGCTTCGAATCATTTAATATATACCTTCTTTATTATTAATGTTTATTACTATTATTATTATTATCATCATCATCATCTTTTTGCCTATATGCTATGTGCAGCAAACAGATGAATCAGGTGATTAATTAATTATCTGCTATGTTGAGGACAGTCGTGGCACTACATTATTATGTCTTAATTCTTAAACAATTTATTATTGAAATTACATTTTTACCTCCAGTACTTGAATACTTTTAAACTTTTTACTTTGTACTTTTACTTGAAGTAACACGAAGAAAGAGTACTTCTACTTTTACTTGAATAAGTTTTTCTCAAAGTAACAGTACTTTTACTCATATTATATTTCCAATACTTCGTCAACCACTGCATATAATACGCGGTGTATTAGTGCAACATAACGTCAAACATGTGAAGCTATAGGTAATTGATATGTAACACAGCCGGTTTAATTTCTGCTTATAAGTTTCAGTTATTTTCACCTTGTGTTGGGGGGAGGGGGGGGGGGTTGCACTTCACTAATGAGGAGAGAAACTTTGTCATAAGCACTTAACCAGACATTACTAAGAGCCATCTTCTGGGGACTTTACGAATCTTTGGGTCGTTCTGGTTTCATGTGTATCAGCCAGTGTCTTACCTGGTGGAGCGGTGGCAACTTGGATGGTAGTGCTTGGGGTGGTGGTAAATGAGTTGGTGGTAGTTTGGATGGTGATAAGTGGAGTGGTGCTGGTGTTTGTGGTTGCTGCTGTCTTGTCTTTCTCGCCTGGAGAAGCGAAAATGAACACTTTTTAATCAAGCCCCCGCTGTTGACCAGCACCTGACATAGGGGGTACTGGTTCCTAAAGGTACCGGTAACGTTTGGTATTGGAACTTTGAAATACTGAATCCTGGAAGTACTGGGGATTACTGGTGACAGACATGGGACTAAACAGCGTCGGCTTCTGGAAGACAGGTTTTTTTACTTGGCTTGGCTTCGAAACTTTCTAGGGGCTTCGGCTTCGAAGCTAAAGGAACGGCACCTGGTTTCGGATCATCCTCTTTACACAGACACACTGCCCATATTGTGACATCACAGCTAAGCTGATCCCTGACGTCACAACTGATCCCTCCTGTTTCTATTGGTCAATTCTCACATGGACCTGACCTGAACCGCAGACACGTACTACCTCTGCCTCTTCACCCCCAGGCGCTGACCGACAGCATTTTAAAAATACTAAGATGATTAGTTGCAATGCTTCTCTGTCATATTATTATGTTTATGTGCTAGCATGTACAGTATATTTAGTAGATTTTTTGTATTAGTGGTTTGCTTTGAGCAATGAATAAAATGAATGACGATGAATATTGAATAAGATACAAAAATAATAAAATAAAATGTATAGATAAATTTCTAGTATAACAAACCATTTGAGTCTATAGTGAGAAGAAAAACAATCAGTCTAAAATAAAGTCAACTTATCTCAAAGTTTTGCTCATTGGTGTAGATTTGTTGTCATTGAAAGGGGGATGACTTCCGAGACTTGTAGAAATGCGACTCTGAACATAACCACAACAAATGTACATCTCTTATGTCGTTTTAGAAACCATAAAGCTTTTTATAGAAGTGACTTGCTGGGACTCTTTTATTATGTATGACCTGACAGGCTGACCCATGACGCTAACCTTATTGTGTCAACCCTTGTGACCGGAAACAGGTTGACCCCAAAGTCACTAGCTGCCACAACTCAGAGGAGGGGATTGATGATGACCTTAGTTGACAAGTATTGCTGACACGCAAGAACTTGAGAATATAAGAACATAGGATTGAAGGAAACTGTAGCGGGCTTACCGTCCATACTAGGCAACCCCGTTTACACCCAACTCGTATCGCTCATATATCAGTCCAGCCTATATTTGAAGATTCCCAGAGTGTTCTAATAGAAGATAGTGTTCAGTAACTTGTTTCACTCATCCACTCCACTATTTCCAAACCAGTGTTACCTATCTTACGCCTAAATCTAAATTTGTCTTACTTAAAACCATTGCAACACGTTCGCTCCTGGTTGGATAGTTTAAGTTTCTTTGTTATATCACCTATGTTTAACCCTGACTTCCATTATACACCTAGATCATATCGCCCCTCACTCTACGTCTCTCGAGGGAGTGCAAATTCAGATGCTTTAAGTTGTCTTTATATTCAAGGTTGGTCATATTCCTCCGTATGCTTTCAAGGGACTCGATATCCATTCTGTAGTACAGTGACCAGAACTGAACCGCGTAATCCAAGTGAGGTCTCATAAGCGCAAGATATAGTTTTAGGATAACCTCGCTAGTCTTGTAATTAACAACCCTTTGTATGAACCCGAGGACTTCGTTAGCCTTGTTTCGAGCAAATACACATTGTTGTCTCAGTTTAAGATTCCCGCTTACCCTTATCACCTAAATCTTTCTCACATTCGGATTTCTCTATATCAACGTTGTTCATCTGATATCTGGTTTACATCTCCTAGGTTTAGGACTTTATATTTTACCACATTAAATTCCATCTGCTATTTTTCAGACCATACGAAAAATTTGTTTAGATCTTCCTGTAGTTTTGCGGAGTCCTTGTCAGATTTAATTGCACGACCTATTTTAGTGTCGTCAGCAAATTTACTTATGATGCTGTCTATGCCTATATCTGTGTCGCATATGTATATAATAATAAATAGTAATGATCCAAGTACTGAGCCTTGAGGTACTCCACTAGTGACGTTACCCCAATCGGATTTTGTGCCATTAATGCTTGCTCGCTGTTTCCTGTCCTGTAACCACGCCCTAATCCAATTTAGAATATCTCCGATTCCATGAGCCTCCACTTTACATATTAGACTTTCGTGGGGGACTCGGTCGAAGGCTTTGCTAAAGTCGAGGTAAACCACATCATAATCGTGCCCGTCATCCACTGTTTCGAAAACGGTTGAAAAGAATGATAATAGATTTGTCAAACATGAACACCCATGTTGGGAATCATTGATCAACTTGTGTTTCTTCAATTGATTTCGAATTGAATTTGAAATTATTGCTTCCAGCAACTTGCCTACAATTGATGTTAACTGATTGGACGGTAGTTAGAGGATAGTGATCTATTTCCCTTCTTGAAAATCGGTATTACAGTCGCTATCCTCCAGGATTCTGGTACTACACCTGTTTTTAATGACATGTTAAACAAATTTGTTGAGGGCATACTAAGCTCTTCCTTACATTCCTTTAATACTCTGGCAAATATCTCCTCGGGACCTGGTGACTTATTAGGTTTTAGTTTATTTGTTTACCAATATCTTTACTAGTCACTACTATCTCGCTTTATTCATTTTCTTCGTTATTTCTGTATATAGTCGGTGCCTCGGGTATCATGTTTAAATTTTCGTTGTGAAAACTGCCCAGATTATTGCTCATTTCTCCGTCGTTGTCAGGTAGTTCGCCGGTATCTGACCGTAATGGTCCAATCTTGTCTCGTGTTTTAATTAGATACATTCGGAAGAATCTCTTTTGGGTTTGACTTCGCTTCTCTTGCTGCTTTTAGTTGACCCTAGCTGACCTCATTATCAGGATAAAACTAAAAATAACACTGAACGTTGACCTCAGAGTACCTTTCACGCAGAATGAATCTTATACAGCATAACAGAAAAATTATAAAACTATTTTTTTTTTTAAATCTGGAAGGATTATAATTTTTCAGAATACATGAATTGTCAGACCCCAGGATCTACACCACAGGCCTTGCTGGAGCTTAGAATATCAGATATATTCCCATCAACATGTAAGGTAATACAGTGTATAAGTAATGGTGTTAAAGTTTCGTGTACCCTTAAAAAGCTTTGGCTTCGGCTTCATAACTTTTTTTTGTAGCTGGCTTTGGCTTTGTTACTTTCCATTGGCTTTGGCTTCGAATCCTGAGGCTTGGCTTCAGCCCCAAGTCTGACTGGTAAGGAGTCCGAAGGGGAGGGGTGAAAGGCGAGACCTCAAACCAGCATGTAGGATGATCTTTATAATATATAAGATGAAATAAAGACAATAACGACAGAATATAAACATGTAACTCACTTGTGTTCCTGTAGTAGGTGGTGGTGGTGTTGTTGGAGGTCAACACACCGTGGGAGACGTGGGCGGGGGAGAACAGGAAGAGGCAGGTGACCCTCCTGGCATCAGGCACCACCGTCACCGCCTGGCAGGTGAGGTTCATCATGCACTTCAGCTTACACCCACCTGCCGGACACAACACAGCGTCACAGAGGCACCAGACGGCGGTGCTCCAGGTCCTCCCTGTTGCACCAAACTGATCTACTTGTTCCTTGACGACGAACATAAACAATACATCAAACAAAATATTCCTGAAGTTATGAAGCATCAGTGGAGGTGAAAGAAGAGCTTGACATAGACTCTGGCCACACTAACTCCTTCAGCAGGTGGAGGACGGTGAACATGAACAGTGAGCTTACATGTAGACGACATAGCGAGCGTCCAGTTGTGGTGGAGGAGGGCGGTGTTGGCCAGCGTGTACAGGTTGTTGTAGGCACTGGCGGGAATGGTGGTGGTGGTGGAGGATGTAATAGTGGAGACTGTGGTGGTAGAGGCTTTAGTGGTGGATACGGTGGTGGTGGAGGGCATGTTGGGGATGATGGAGGTGTCGGTGGCGGAGGTTGTGTTGGGGACGGTGGTGGTGTTGGGGACGGTGGTGGAGGTGGGGACGGTGGTGGAGGTGGGGACGGTGGTGGAGGTGGTGGTGGAGGTGGGGGACGATGTGTGGAGGTGGGGACGTGTGGTAGACCGGTGGTGGAGGTGGGGACGGTGGTGGAGGTGGGGACGGTGGAGGTGGGGACGATGGTGGAGGTGGGGACGATGGTGGAGTTGGACGACGGTGGTGGAGGTGGGGACGATGGTGGAGGTTGTGTTGGGGACGGTGGTGGTAGTGGAGGTGGGGACGATAGTGGAGGTGGGGGACGGTAGGAGGTTGTGTTGGGGACGGTGGAGGTGGGGGACGATGGTGGAGGTGGGGACGATAGTGGAGGTGGGGACGATAGGTGGAGGTGGGGACGTGTGGAGGTTGTGTTGGGGACGGTGGTGGAGGTGGGGACGATGGTGGAGGTTGTGTTGGGGAGGCGGTGATGGAGGCGGCAGACACGACAGCCAGAAGCAGCGTCACACCACACCACCACAGGTGCATGGCGTCTGAGAGAGGTTGATATCAGAGAATTTATACTCAATGTTATCTTAGCTGGGGTAGAGGTTATCACATAATGTTATCTTAGTTGGGGTAGAGGTTATCGAATAATGTTATCTTAGCTGGGGTAGAGGTTATCGCATAATGTTATCTTAGCTGGGGTAGAGGTTATCGCATAATGTTATCTTAGCTGGGGTAGAGGTTATCCCACAATGTTATCTTAACAGGGCTTCAGGTAAGGCACACACTCACCTAGTTTGTACCGTCTCTTCTCACCTGCGACGCACAAGGGAACTGGACAGGCGAGCCAACCTGCACCTGTTGACTGAGTGTGTACTTGTGTGCTCGCTACTCTTGTATTGTGTGTGTGTGTGTGTGTGTGTGTGTGTGTGTGTGTGTGTGTGTGGAGGTATGCACTGAAGCAAGAAATTATTTTAAAATTGATTTTCTGGCATTTTAAACCTTTGATGGTGATTAAGTGTTTGCAATATATCAGAACAATAGTGAATGACTCGCCACTCTGTCGGTGAATGTATGTTAATTTACCACTGGATATTGACCGGTGTGTAGCGCTACTGAAGTAACTATTAATACTGACAGTCCCTCAACACTCGTGAAAGAATAAGGAAAACCTTATTAAGTGTTCGACCGTTAAATATAATTACTCTGTGTATGTCTTTGTTGATTGAAATATTGTATTCATCAGTCACTTCCATTCATAATTAAAACAACAGATGGATAATGACAACTAAATTGAAGGTGAATGTTTGCTGTAGACAGCCACCCTCACACCTTCCACGGTCATAACCAAATGATTTCTACTGTACAATATGATGAGGTCATGCATGCGTTGTAATATTCAGCAGTGTTGTGTATGTTCATAAGTAGTCTACATAGCTTGCACGCAGATAAGAAACCTAATTTCTAAAAACATCTTGAATATAAATTGTGTTTTGCCGCGATTAACGGAGAACGTGTGTAACATTGCGGAGGACCTGTGCTGATGCTCCTTAATAATGTAAAAATATACAGTATCTCTCGAGGTAAACTGACTCTCACGACCATTACACCTGTCACACCCCATCCTTCACTCCTCAGCCTCTCTCTACTTCAGTCAGTCTATAACTCCATACAAATTGAAATGAAATAATTTTGTCGACATTATCGGTTCCCAGTTAACCAGCAGGTGGAGTTAGTGTTTCGACATTATCGTGGCAGAGTAACACGTGTTGACACACAGGACCATTCACTCTTAATAATGTTTTCGTCAAGCCGGATGTAACAGGCCATAGAGGCAGCCTAAGACCCCCGTCGCTTTTCAGGTTATTCACTTGAGCCAACTAATCTGGTCTCAAAGAAAACTACTTTATTTCCCCTCATGGGAAGTTTTGTGACAAGTGAGTGTTGGCCAGGTAAGGGAGACCAAGATGAGGGTTAATGTGTGATGAAATTCTTACCTTTACAAAAATAGAAAAAAAAGCCATTTTGTTATTTTGAACATTATTTTTAGACAATAAAGTATAGAATTCAGATCAAAACTTCATACCTGGAGGGGTAAGAGTTATATTTATCAGGGTAATGTTCAGTTGTTCTCTTGGTCACCCACTGAGTCCTCACCTTGATGATGAAACTCACCTAGTCAGGTACCTTAGCTGCTAGGTAACCAGGTGACCTCTCTACCCATGTAATGACCCACCAGTGTATGTCAGTGACCCACCAGTGTGTGTCAGTGACCCACCAGTGTGTGTCAGTGACCCACCAGTGTGTGTCAGTGACCCACCAGTGTGTGTCAGTGACCCACCAGTGTGTGTCAGTGACCCACCACTGCATGTCAGTGACCCACCACTGCATGTCAGTGACCCACCAGTGTGTGTCAGTGACCCACCAGTGTGTGTCAGTGACCCACCAGTGTGTGTCAGTGACCCACCAGTGTGTGTCAGTGACCCATCAGTGTATGTCAGTGACCCACTAGACAGCATTGCTTAATTGTGTTTCAACGCTTAAAGTTAATTAATCAGCGGAATGTTGAAATTTTTCCCCTTAAGTCTCAAGTAAGATCTTTTCTCGGCTGCCACATTTGTTTCACAAAAAAATATTTCATAAAAATATATAATTTTTAAGTAAATTAATTTACATCATGAACGCGGTGAGTGGGGCCAAAAAATTATGTAGATCACTACCAGGTACTGTAGTGAACTAAGCGCGCTGGCTCCGTAGAGTATACCGCGAGCTACGTCCGCGTGTCAACTCCAACTGACCTCCCACTAATTTGCTGTAATTCCTCGTCAAAGCCACAAAACAATGTTATCTCGTAGCAATGGTTTGATCATAGTAAAATCTCTCTTTTGATGTATTCCATTTACTAGGAAATACAAAGTCTTCCAGCGTACGCTACACTTGATAATATAATGTTGATAAAGACAGATAATCAACACTGAATGGAAGTGTTTATGAAAAATGTCTCTGAGAGCCCACTAGGAGTAGTGTGGGTACAGGTCACTGGATGTTCATAAGCAGAGACAACGTTGTCGGCACTACAGCAGGGTCGACTGGGATCAGTCCACTCAACTTCATTGTTCTGTTACCTGAGAACTTTTTTATGTCCATATAAAGGGAATGAAACAGGATGTGTATTGTGTGTTTAAGAGGCCACATCTAACTCGACACTGAGTTATATTATAGTTTAGTTTGAAATTTAATCATCATAAACCTCAATTTTCAGAGTATTGTGTAGTACAGGTACACTGGCCACCTGTATTGCCTCATACTCGACGAGGCAAAATTCTATGTGTAAGCGGCCAACAACCATTGGCAGTCAGGAGCCGGTGTAGCCCGGATGTATTATATTGCCGTTGCCTCCAGCTCTACACCACCGGCAACTTTCCCCTTCTGCCGGCTCATTATTATTGTACTGTACGGCATATATATTTACGCCTGGGGCTTATGATGGTTATATATATATATATATATATATATATATATATATATATATATATATATATATATATATATATATATATATATATATATATATATATATATATATATATATATATATATATATATATATATATATATATATATATATATATATATATATATATATATATATATATATATATATATATATATATATATATATATATATATATATATATATATATATATATATATATATATATGTTTATATATATATATATATATATATATATATATATATATATATATATATATATATATATATATATATATATATATATATATATATATATATATATGTTATATTTATATATATTTATATATATGTATTTATATATATTTATATATATATTTATATTTATATATATTTATATATATATATTTATATATATATATTTATATTTATATATATTTATATATATATATTTATATTTATATATATATTTATATATATATATATATATATATATATATATATATATATATATATATATATATATATATATATATATATATATATATATATATATATATATATTTATATATATATATTTATATATATATTTATATATATATATTTATATATTATATATATATATTTATATATATATATATATATATATATATATATTTATATATATATATATATATATATATATATATATATATATATATATATATATATATATATATATATATATATATTATATATTTTTTTTTTTTTTTAAGCCACAGAGAAATTGGTCAGGTCAGAGTTTGGTGTTGGTAATAAAACTGCCAAGTCTCCATTGTACACAAGTTAATCAAGAGTTTGTTTCCCAAACTTCTCCTGGGTGGCCGATACCTAATTAGGCTCACATATCCAATAGAATCTCCAGCCAACTTCGGGGAAATTTTACTTTAGAATTTCAGGTGTATGGATTCCCTCCGTGGGCGGCGTTCACAGGGTGTTGAACTTGTGAATACCTGCCCGGGCCACCCTCCCTCACCTGCCCGGGCCGCCCTCCCTCACCTGCCCGGGCCGCCCTCCCTCACCTGCCCGGGCCACCCTCCCTCACCTGAAGCTCTACTAATTTAACCACAATGACCAACTTTTACTTACAACGATACAACCCAAAAGCCG